GATAGATAGATAGATAGATAGATAGATAGATAGATAGATAGATAGATAGATAGATAGATAGACAGACAGATTAGATAGATAGATTTTAAGCTCTCTAGACTTTCCTAGTTGCCTCCCATCCATTTGGTCTGATTCAGCAGCCAAAAAAGCTAATGCAATCCTAAATTGCATTAACAGAGGGATACAATCGAGACCAAGGGAGGTATTAATATCACTCTATAAAGCCTTAGTAAGGCCACACCTAGAGTACTGCATCCAGTTTTGGTCACCACACTATAAAAAAAAAATGTAGAGACTCTGGAAAGAGTGCAGAGAAGAGCAACCAGGATGATTAGGGGACTGGAGGCTAAAACATACGATGAACGGTTGCAGGAACTGGGCCTGGCTAGTCTAGGGAAGAGAAGGACCAGGGGAGACAGGATAGCATCTTCCAATACTTGAGGGGCTGCCACAGAGAGGAGGAAGGGGTCAAGCTATTCTCCAAAGCACCCGAAGGCCAGACAAGGAATAATGGATGGAAACTGAACAAGGAGAGATTCAACCTGCAAATAAGAAGAAACTATCTGACAGTGAAACAATCAAGCCATGGAACAGAAGTTGCCTTTGGAGGTTGTGGGAGCTTCATCACCGGAAGAAGGGATTGGACTCCCATCTGTCAGAAATGATGTAGGGTCTCCAGCTTGGGCAGGGGGTTGGACTAGATGACCTATAAGGTCCCTTCCAACTCTGATTATCTGTTATCTGTTATCCAGCTTAGTTTTGCCAAGCTCCTGGTCCATATCAATATGAAGCAAGCCCAAATTTCAACGTTCTCATATTTTTGCTGGAAATGTCCTTTATATCTAGGCACTCAAAGCTGGTCAGGAGCACCGAACATAGAGGTAGTCCTTGACTTACAACGGTTGTAAGGCATTTAGTGACCGTTCAGACGGCACAGAAAACGGCCACTTATGACCACTTTTCACACTTATGGCCCTCGCAAACTTCACATGATTAAAATTCGGGCGCTCATCAACGGACTCCTATTTATGACGGTTGTAGCATCCCAGGAGACTAACTCCCGCTTAAATAAACACAAATGCAATCCTAGGCTGCATCAATAGAGTGATAGAATCAAGATCATGCAATGTTCTAATACTGCTTGCAAAGCTTTAGTAAAAACCACACTTGGAACTCTGCATCCAGTTCTGGTCACCCCAATATAAAAAAGATGTTGAGGCTTTGGAAAAAGGGCAGAGAAGAACAACTAAGATGATTAAAGGCTTGTGGACAAAAACATACGAAGAACAGTTGTAGGATTGGGGTTTGGCTAGTCTAGAGAAAAGAAGGACTGGGGGGACATGGTAGTATTTGAGGGGCTGCCACAAAGAAGAGGGGGGTCTATTTTCCAAAGCACCTGAAGGCAGGACAAGAAACAATGGGTGGAAACTAACCAAGGAGAGAAGCAACCTGGAATTTAGGAGAAACTTCCCAACAGTGAGGACCATTAACCAGTGGAACTGCTTGCCACTAGAAGTTGTGGGTGCTCCATCACTTGGAGGCTTTTAAAAAGAGACTGGCCAGCCATTTGTCTGGAATGGTATGGGGTTTCCTGCTTGAGCAGGGGGCTGGACTCTATGACCTCCAAGGCCCCTTCCAACTCTGCTATTCTATGTTCTAAAGCCCAGCTGTGCACCACTAGGAAATATTCACCCCTGCCTCTGGGCAATGCCAGCCTGCTTGCTAAAACTGCTCCCGAAATGCTAAAAAAAAAAGCCGGAATATTCTACCTGACTCTGTGGTTTCTTCCCCAAACCCCAAAAACTTTAACCTAATAGTAGACAGTCTACTATTGACCTCACCCCTTTCCTAAGAGGTCTGTAGGGGGCGTGCATAAGCACACCAACGTGCCTATCATCCCCATCCTCTTGTTTCTTTCATTTTTCTTATACGTATCCATTTCATGTAGTCATAACTATGTTTATACTTATACCTGTTATCTTATAATTGCTTGACAAAATAAATAAATAAAAACATTAGCTTGCAAAGGTGGCCTGTTAAGTGTGTGTGTGTGTGTGTGTGTATACACCCACTCACATTTTTTTGTCATTGCACCTCATACAAGGAAATTAAATGCCATCTTCAGTGTACATTATACAAAAGAACAGAAGAAAACAATGCAAAGAAATTAAAGAAAAACACACATCCTTCCCATTCTATGCAAATGAGATGAATTTAGGACTCCACATAGGATTCTGCAAAAGGGATCCCACCCAAGCTGGGCTGGACTGAGGCTGGCCAAAGCCCACCCTCATCCTCCCAAGAGACACAGAGAAGGCATGAATCCTGTCTCCAGCCCGCTTCCGGCCAGGGTCCCTCTTGGGTGGGCTTCACATAACCCCTGGCATCCCTTGAACCCAAAGCCGATCCAAGCCCAGCAAGCCACAGGCCGGGACTCTTGCAAAACGATTGCCCCCCCCTCCAGTCCACCCTCGCAGCCCCGTCTGAGCAAGGAATCCCTCCGCCCGGCCTGATCCGGATCCTGCGGGCGCTCAGCTGGGCTTCGCTTGGGACGGCTGGCACGGTGACGCCGGGGACAAGTGGGACCCCGCAAGAGTGTCCAGCCTGGCCTCCCCCCCCCCCCCCCCCCCCCCCCCGGCCCCCCCGGACCGCAGGCGTCGGATGCTCGCCCCCCGGAGGGGCTCCGGGCTGGCCATCCCCGCTGTCTGCGATGCCCAAGGGAGGGGAGGGGAGGGGGGGTTGCCTGTCCACGCCCCGGACCGTGATGTCAGCGGCGCTCTCCGCCCCCGCCCCGCGCGAGCGAGACCCCTCCCTGGGAGGACAGACTGACTGCCCGGGTCGCCTTGGGTTCTCCAGCTCGAGCCCTTAGGGGCGCGGGACCCTCTGCAAGCCCCTGCCAAGTGGGACCCCGCAAGAGGGTCCAGCCTGGCCTCTCCCCCCTTTCCCGCCTTCATTAAGGATTGCAAACTCGTCCTCCTCCTGCTCCAGATTGTCTTGCAACGCAACCAGCTGCAAAAATCCGTTCATCCTGTTGGAGGCGCTGGATTTGGGCTCGCAGGAAGGAAAAGCGGCACCGCTGTGCACGAAGGTTGCCCAAAAGCCCACAGATGGAGCCGACTAGCAGCCGTTTCCCTTGGCCTCTTCTCCTAGGGCTCTGAGAGAGTGGCTGGCTCAAGGTCGCCCAGCTGGCTTTGCGCCCAGTTCAGGGTCTCTCCCAGTTTCTTGCCTGATCAGTCTTAACCGTTATGCCAGCCTGGCTCTGGTCATAGCCCTCCTCCCAGCCACTTAATGAACCAGGTCACTTCAGCAATGGTTGTTTGCATTCCCACGTGTACATTTTAACCAGGGTTTGGTTGAACCGGGGACGAGTCAGGGGACGCTGGGAAACCCGAAGGTCCTGAATCCAGCCGGAGACAAGCTTGAACAAGTTGATGACAAGTTCATCAAACGGAATAAGCCAGGGACACTTTTCTTCCTGCAAGCACCACGTTCACACGAGAAACCAGGCTGGGTGTGCAGAGTTTGCTAAAACCTGGTTAGGTTCTTTTGCACCTGAGTATCTTGTGCAACTTCCCCAAAATTGATTCATTCCCCACCCTAGTTAGGTTTAATTCAACTCACGCTTAAATTCAGGACCAGCTGTGGGCACTGCCAGCCTGAGAATGCGCCCAGCTTGTGAGAACCACTCGAGGAATGCCTGGAAAACCAGCTTAGCGGCGAAGGTGGTCCGTTCAGTCAATTTGGGACACCTCACAGCCCAGGAAAGAGGGATTCCTTCCGCAATCCAGGTTAAGGAGACCACAGACCTAGGGGGAGCTCTCTGCCTCACAACCAGGGGGCTGCCAGTTCGATCCTAGGTAGAGGCTAATATTTGGAATACTCTCTCCTGCTCGATCAGATGACCTCCAAGGTCCCTTCCGACTCTTGGTTATTCTAGGAGTACCCGTGGGGGGTTAATGGAGCTTGGTTCACCCTGCTCACAATTCTGTAGAGGAGGGAGAGAAGCACCACCACTCCCGAAAAAGAGAAGGAATGCTTGTGCTGCCTCCAGTTCCTTCTTCTTCGGCTTCACACAACCCCTTAAACCAGGTTGAAGGAAACCCACCCGGCCGGCCAGTCGCGGACTGGGGCTCACACACACACACCCGCCCCATTTCCTCCCCGCCTCTGCCCTCAGAGGGACCCCCCCCCCCCCCCCCCCCAGCGCCCCAACGCCCAGGGAAGGAAGTGCCGGCGTGGCGCCAAGCCCACCCCCTCAATTTCCCTCCCGTGCCTTACCTGGATTGCAGGCACCCGGGGCTGGCCCCCCAGAGGGTCTCCTCTCCGTCCATCCGCCCTGCCGCCTGCGCTGCCCGGCTGGAAGATAGTCTGCGCGGGGACCCGCCCTCGGGCGTGACGTCAGAGCCCCTCCCCTGCCCCGCCTCTCCCCCGGAGGAGAGGCTTGGCCAGATCAGCTGGGGAGGGGTCCGCCTTGCCTTCTGGCCTTCCCACCCACCCTCCCCACGCAGCAGTTCCCTCCGCCGCCGCCGCCGCCGCCGCCGCCGCCTTCATGAGGACTTGAAACTCGTCCTGCCCAAGAGTGGGGCTTTCCTGCTGCCTCCGTGCCAGCTGCTCAGCCCCTCCAAACTTGGCAACTTTAAGACTTGTGGACTTCAACTCCCAGAATTCTCCGGCCAGCTGTGCTGCCTGGAGAATTCTATTTATTTTATTTTATTTATTTCTTTATTTTGTCAAGCAATTGTAAGGTAATAGGTATAAGTATAACAATAGTTATGGATACATGAAATGGATACATATAAGACAAATAAAAAACAATAGGACAGGGACGGTAGGCACGATTGGCGCGCTTATGCATGCCCCCTACAGGCCTCTTAGGAAGGGGGTGAGGTCAATAGTAGACAGTCTAAGTTTTTGGGGTTTGGGGAAGAAACCACAGAGTCAGGTAGAGTATTCCACATATCGACCACTCTGTTGCTGAAGTCGTATTTCCTGCAATCAAGTTTGGTGCGGTAAACCTTGAGTTTGTATCTATTGTTTGCTCTTGTGTTGTTATGGTTGAAGCTGAAGTATTCATTGACAGGTAGGACATTGCAATGTATAAGTATATACTATACTTAGATCGGACCAAAGGCGGCATAGTTCTAGATTTTCTAGGTCTAGAATTTCAAGTCTGGTGGCATAAGGTATTCTGCAACGAGTAGAGGAGTGGAGAACTCTTCCTGTGAAACATTTCTGGACTTTCTCAACTGTGTTAATAATATCAGATACGTAACGCGGGTTCCAGACTGATGAGCTGTATTCAAGTATTGGTCTAGCAAATGTTTTCTGAACCTAACATTATTTGTGGGGGTGGGGGTGGGGGCAAAATGGGAAGCAAAGAATTGGAACTTTCTCTTTGCTGCTTTCTAGTGGCCACCTGTATATTTGCAACCTGGTTTGCAAAGCCCTAAACCAGAATCTCCAACTGGGAAACTTTCAGACTTGTGGACTTCAACTCCCAGAATCCCAAAACTGGCTGAGGAATTCTGAGAGTTGAAGTCCACAAATTTTAAACTAGCCAAGATTGGAGACCCCAGCCACAAATCATGATGAACAAATCACAGGGATGAATTTCTATCATCATGAAACATTTATTTGCACTCTCTGTGTTTTTAATTTGATAGCCTTCTGTACAAACTGACCCTCTCTGTTTCGAAGTTTGAACTTAACCTGAATTTAATATAATGAACCTCTGTTAAAATGTCCTAACCCTGGTTTAGTGTGTTGTGTGACTTCTGGAACTATCGATGCTGGCCTGTAAAGGTTCAAACTATGCCTAGAGTCTCAACATCTGTTTTGTATCATAGTGATCGAAACAATATTCCAAGTGTACACTGGTAAGACCACACATAGAGTACTGCGTCCATTTTTAGTCACCAAGCTTCAAAAATGATGTTAAGCAGGGGTGGGATTCAAATTTTTAAATAACCGGTTCTATGGGCGTGGCTTAGTTGGTGGGCGTGACTTGGTGGTCACGTGACTGGGTGGACGTGGCCAACTCAATTGCACTCACATTGAGGCACGCATGTCCTCGCCTGGCCTCTCATGACTGTGGGAATGTTGCAACGGTCGTAAGTGTGAAAAACGGTCATAAGTCACTTTTTTTCAGTGCCATTGTAACTTTGAATGGTCGCACCACACAAGCAAAGTACCAGCAAAGGAGGGGGGAAAAAACCCAGAGAAGTTCCAGAGACAGGAAGTCTTGTCCTGCCAAGAATGTAATAAGGGTTAACAGAGAGGCAGTTTCTGTAAGCAACACCAGAATGTTTCCTTCCTGCCTTCCTTACAGGATTAGCCCTGTAATTTCTTCTAACAACCGGTTCTCCGAACTGTTTAGAACGTTAACAACCGGTTCTAGCAAATAGGTGTAAACTGGTAGAATCCCACCCCTGATGTTAAGACTCTCCAAAGTTCAAAGAGTATAGAGAAGAGCAACAAAAACGAATTAGCAGCCTGGAGGTTAAAACGTGTGATGAATGGTTGCAGGAATTGGGCACATCTAGTCTAATGAAGAGAAGGACTAGGGGTGCTATGGTAGCAGTCTTCCAATATTTGAGGTGCTCTCACATAGAACAGGGGGTCAACCTAAGCACTTGAGAGCAACAGGTAGAAAGATCCGAGCCTTTATGTGAGAACTAAAGAGAAATTTCCTGACAGTGACCATAATTAACCAGTGCCTTCAGAAGTTGTGGGTGCTCCATCACTAGAGGTTTTTAAGAAGAAACTGGACATCCATGTGTCCAAAATGGTATAAAGGTCTTCTGCTTGGGCAAGGGATTGGACTAGAAGACCCCCTTTCAACTCTGTTATTCCATTTTGTGCTCTGCAGCTCCCTAAAGTCTGTCTAGTGTGAACAGGGATATGTCTTGATAGTGAGGTGGGTGGCATAGAAATGTAAGACATAAAACGAACACCCAAACACTCTGCATTTGCTGCCGGTTTAAAATGAAGCAGAATTAACTCTTTCAAGACTGTTCTGGAGCAGGGGTCCCCAACCACCGGTCCGCGGACCGGTACCGGTCCGCGGAACAACTCCTACCGGGCCGCTGGCTTGCTGGGCGCCGCCATCTTTTTTTGATGACAAAGTGCTTCCGGTGAGCTTTTCCGGGTAGAAAGCTCACCGGAAGCACTTTTTCACCAAAAAAAGATGGCGGCGCCCAGCTGATGCCGGTACCGGGCCGCGGCGCCCAGCTGATGCCGGTACCGGGCCGCAGCGTCAAAAAAGTTGGGGATCACTGTTCTGGAGCACAGCCAGGTGAATCAGAGCCTCCCACTCAAAATACTACATTTTGAATGGGGTCAGCAACTTTTACAAACTCCTGTACTGACCTGACGATAGTTACAGACCACCTCACAGAACTGTTGCCAGCATTGTGGGTGCCCATCATGTTAGGAGTTCTTGTGGGTTGTTTCCAACTGGCTTAGGCAAGATGCGAGAAAGGGGCTGTCACGGCTTGTTCAACAAACTGGATTTTTTTTTAAAAAATAAATAAATATGTAAGCTACCCAGAATTACTTTATAAAGATAGGTGGCATGAATGTTTAATAAATAAATCTGTGCCAGGTCGAAGTTGCCATTCTATGCTGGAGCTTTACATCAGCAAAATGTATTATATTCCTCCTTTTTTGCATAAGAAATTATCTTTTTTTTTTTTGTACTTTCCCTCTCTCTTACCTGAGCATCCTGTTCCCTGCTGCATTTTCCCTTGTCTGCTGCCATGGAAACAGCATCCTCTGGTCCATGCAACTGACTTCAAAACTGGGGGATTCTGCGGAATTTTTTCTTTTTCTTTTGACACTGTCAAGGGTGAGACCTTCTCCTTCAAGCTGCCCCCTCCTCGCCAGCCCCAGAGATTCTGTGCCACCTGGAAATCATCCTGGGTTTCCTGCCTCTGAAAAGAGGCAGGAAAAACAGGCCCTCTTGAAGCCATCTTGGCCTCTTCAGTTAGAAGCAACCACAAGACGAAATAAACCCAGTGCATAATTGGGAGCTGCAAAGTCAACCTGAATAATTCCATATAGGGGGTTGGACTGGAAGATTTCACAAGGTCCTTCCAGCCCTATCATTCTATAATCATGTAATTATAGGGAGTCATCGACCTACAGCTTTAATGGAGCCCACAATTTGGTCGTACGTTGCGATGGTTATAAAGCAAGTAATGTGACTATGTCACATTTTTGTGTGGTCCTTAAGCAAGTGTGGCTGTCATAATGCAAACCCATTGTTCTCTAAGGGGCAGGTTTGGCGAGAAACTGTTTCTCTGGCGTTAAAACTGCAAAGAGAGGTGGGATTCAAAAGTCCTAGCAACTGGTTCGCTGCCTGGTTGCTGGGTGGGCATGGCCCGGGGTGGGATTCAACCGGTGTTACTACTGGTTTGATGACTATGTTTTGCACTGCACACATGGGTAAAAAACTTAAGCTGTGCCTGCCGGACAGCTGACAAGCGCTGCGTGAGGGTGCGCAGCGTTTGAAAAGCCACTTTTCCCCTGCTTTTTCAACCTCAGCTGTGCCACACGAAGCAGCTGAGGTTGAAAAAGCGGGAAATAAAGGTCAGGTAAGAGCCCGGGCGGGCAAGTGGGCCAAACAGCAGCAAACACAGAACCGGTTCAGTATCTGCTGCTCTTCAGAGCTACCAGTTCTATAGAGCCGGGCCAAACTGGTAGCATCCCAACCCTGGGCTTGGCCCACCGGAACTTCCTGTTTCCGGCTTCCCATGGGCCTCTGGGAGGGCAAAAATGGCCTCCCCTGTGCTCTGGAGGCCCTCCAGAAGCCTGAAACAGGCCCGCTTCTGGACGTCCAGAAAGCCCGTTTTTTCCCCCTCCCAAAGCTTCCACGCAGACCCTGCACTTACCTGCATCGCCTGGAGACCCCTGGGAGGGGCAGGGTGGGCAGGGCCAGTTGGTTGGTTGAAATACCGGTTCAGTGAACCAAATGTAACTTTAACATCCGGTTCGCCTGAACCAGTCTGAACCGATAGAATCCCACCCCTGATTGTAAATTGTTTATTTTATTTATTTATTTTTGTCGATTGCTTACAATAGGTATAAGTAAAAACATAGTTATGAATACATGGATACATATAAGAAAAATAAAAGAAATAAAAATAAACAATAGGACAGGGACAGCAGGCACGTTGGTGCGCTTATGCAGGCCTCTTAGGAAAGGGGTGAGGTCAATAGTAGACAGTCTAAGGTTAAAGTTTTCGGGGTTTGGGGAAGAAACCACAGAGTCAGGTAGAGTATTCCAGACAGTGACCGCTCTATTGCTGAAGTCGTATTTCCTGAAATCAAATTGTGTTCATGTGAC